GCCAGTGTGTTTGAAATAAAACACCAGGTTAAGGTAGAATAACAAGACTGAGGTTTCACTTCCGGGATATCTTTCACCAGCCTCCACCAACTCCCTCCGACAGGGGATTTTCATTTCCGTAAAAAAAATTCGAAAACAGCTTATGTGTTCGACATGTTTGATACATTTCCCCACCCAAATGATGGGTTTGTTGTGAGCTTTGGTGAGGAACTGTTTTCACACAGACGGGCCACATGTGTCCGAGTTTGATCAAGAACAGATCTACCGTTCCTGTATATAATCTCACGAGTAACCATGTATACTGGTCAATCCTTGCCAAGGATATCAACGAGTGATTAAAGTAGAAATTCTGGACCTGTACTAAGTACTAGAAATTAACACTATCCTGAAGGCAGGTGTCTAGAAATATGTCAAAGGGAAAATGGAAAATAAAGTCAGTGTATATTTGTCTTAACGCTGATTTGAACAGTGAATAAGTAAGGTTTTATTCCGCTTTTAGCAATATTCCAGCAAAATCACGGCGGGGAACACCAGAAATGCGCTTCCCACATTATACCCATGTGGTGAATCGAACCCGGGTCTTCGGCGTGACGAGCGGAAGCTTTAACCACTAGGCTACCCCACCGCCCAGATTTGAGTAGTGTCTTGGCTACAAATACACAATGTCTCTGACTTACAAGTCACAATCAAGAATACAGAGAACGTTACACATGATTTAGCAGCTTACATCAATTACAAGCAATTCGCGAAACCTCCACAACTTCATTTTGGGGGTCAAATATTAATAACCTCGTAACATCTCTCGGTTGATCAAATATCAAATATCAAATATTTGATGACACTAGCACTTCAAATATTTACGCTGTCTTTTTGAGGAAATAATCCCAAAGCTCCAACTGTGTACTTTCTTTGAACGTCAGTATATTTCAGATAAATCAGATAAATCACGGCGTGTCACCTTGGTGCGGGAAGAAAGTCCGAACAGATACATGTCGTAGATAGTTCCCAGTTTCAGGTCTAAACGTATAAAAATAGCATGACAATGTTATACTGTTTATGAAGGATGCCATCGGTGGAGCAGGATACGCTGACGTTTTCGCGAACACCCGGTACCATCACTTTTGGATAGAGATTCGAAAGCATATACTGATTATACAGTCAGAACCACACGATGAACTCTGCTTTTCTTATGTGTATGAGTGAGTAAATAAGTGAGTATGGTTTTACGCCGCTTTTAGCAATATTCCAGCAATATCAAGGCGGGGAACACCAGAAATGGGCTTCATACATTGTACCTATGTGGTTGTGATTATGAAAACAATAACCGACGCATTTACTTGCATGGTTTGTGATTCGTTTTCCTTTTGGTATTCCTGGATCAGGTGGGGACTGAATTATAACCTGAATGATGGTTTCCTACCGAAAGCGTGTATCGATGCTCATGCTTTCAATCACCGGTTCCGTCAATTTTGCACGTCTTTGCATCGTTCTATAGCTGAAACATTGTTATGTGGGAGAAATACATTTCATCGTATCCCAGTTGCTGAGATCGATACTCATGATGGCATTCACTGGAGTGTCTGGTCCAGACTCGATCCTTTACAATATAGTAATACAGCTTTATTATATAAATGGAATGTCTGGTCCAGACTCGATCCTTTACAATATAATAATACAGCTTTATTATATACCTGGAGTGTCTGGTCCAGACTCGATCCTTTACAATATAATAATACAGCTTTATTATATAGCTGGAATGTCTGGCCCAGACTCGATCCTTTACAATATAATAATACAGCTTTATTATATAGCTGGAATGGCGCTGAGAGCGGCGTTAAACATCAAACGAACAACGATGAACTATCAGGATCCGCTGAATCGTGGTTCGAATCCCAAGCTATTTAAATCTTTAGTGACCGGTTGTTGGTTTGCATCACACCTGTGCCCGTCTGATTCAATGAGGCATGTGGTATTTCCAGTGGCGTAGTCTCCAAATGCCTACAGTGACAAATGCCTACAGTGTAGAATAAACAAAGTAATGCACCAGTGATTTCAAGCAGCAGTATCTTCTCCCCATTACATAAATGGAACATTCCAACAGACAAGGTGGACAAATGCCTACACAATGAAAAAATGCTGGGGGTTTTCATATATTTGTGAAATGGAACAATAATTGAATTCATATCTTTACATCTGACAGGATCAAATATCTTTACATTATCTTATGCATATTTTGACTGGCAAAAAGTCTGAGAATTTGTTTTACTCCATCTTCACTAGTCGACCAACAGCACTGAGAAAGTCCAAGGGAGCCTTCACACCAGCTCGTAGCTGATCCTTTAGTCTATCAAGCCTGCTGTCAATCTCCTTGTACACACGACGTCGTGGCGGTGGTTTGTTCGTGCGAGGTCCTAGGTTGTCATGCTGGTTCCAGATTCCGACTCTGTAGAAGGCATGGTCGTCAACCCAGGTGTTGGTGATGTAGTCGTGCCACTGGACCTTCTGTGGAATCCAGGCATCCTGAACCTGCCTCACAGGCAGAAAGGGTAGAGCTGCAGCGCGCCTAATCCACGTATACACCTCAGGATCCTGGAGATAGACATCAGTGAACTTAAGTTCTTGCACCTTCCTCCACAGAGCTTGTGAATAGTGAAAGTAGCAACCACGGACAGCACTATTTGGGAACACTGGAAGTCTGTTTGGATGCTAGTTGGCTGAACTGGATGTCCAGTGGTTTGCTGTACTTTCTCACTCAAGAGTCTGAACAGACGTTCATACGTGCGGCGTTGTCGGTTTGGCAAAAGACAAAACACTAACTGAGTCATCTTAGTGTCAATGAGGCCATGGATAACATACAGCTGGTCCCAGAGTGCAGGGCAGGAGTAAAAGTTCCATCCATGTAAAGTGTGTCCACAACGTTGAGAAGCCTGGGCCGATCACTTGTTGCAAAACACAGGATTCTGTCTTCTTCGCCATCATCAACACGTAGAAAAGGCTGTCCATCTACTGTCTGCTTGAAGATGTCTGGAAGATTGACGTCAGCAAGAGTCTTGGGAAGTGGAGGCATGGTCTTCCTTCTCTGCTTGTACAGGCCACTCTTCATGGTGTGGAAGGAGGGCATGGCAGCAGCCTCTTGAACATCAAGATAATCTCTAGGAAGTTTTCATAGTGTAAACAGGTTAAACTCATTAGGGTGGAAGTGACCACTTGTGTGCAGGGAAGCGTATCACTGCTGCTCACCTAAAACAACATACTCCGTAGCTATTATTGCCTGTAGGCATTTGTCACTGTAGGCATTAAGAGACCTAACCTTTCCAGTTACCTGACACGACGTGATGCACATGAATACTCTCAGAGAGCGATGGCCTCGCTTCGGTTGTCCCCCTCTGTTATTTGTGACACCCCTTACAATGCTATGTAATTATATAAGTACTTGTCACCATCGGTATTCACTTCTATTGAACATACAAAACACAGTAAACGTCCGTCATGTTGATCAACGTAAGACTCTGAACGACAAGACAGGTAGCTAATTAAACTCTCTCTATAATATATAGGTAATGTTGTCACACCTGAGCACCTGTATATAAGGAGTCCACGTTTTTCAAGATACATATGTACCATTAAACAGTGGGGTACGTCGTTAACGTAGGTGCCCACCCTCCACTGCTGTATCCCCTCTCTGACCCGGTGAAGGACGTGATAGTATGGTTAATAATGGTTATTTCAGTAGGAATCTGCCATATTTCAGTGTGTGTGGTAAATCAGTGTAGGGCGTTGTTCACAATGACAACTTTTATGGATAAGAACTTCTTTTATTTCGTAGGTGCGACCTTTCGATAGATTCTTGTACAGCTGTCATTCTGGCTATAGTCTGTTTGCAGTGAAAACGTACCGATGAATTTCACTTTAAACAAAAAAGTAAATCAAATAATGTGAAATTAAGATTGCGAATCCTCATGGTTTTACCTTGCCAATTAAACATTAAAATCTCAGAATTTTATTCAACTTAGGATAAAAATTGTTTAACAAACGATCATAGTTTCAAATCGCTATTATTGGTGTGTATTACAAGGGGGTATGCACATTAAATGAAACCCCGAGAACATGAAGGGTTGGTTTCTACGGTAGTCTAAGTAACGCTCATCACGGACCGCACGTGCATTTGTTTCACTATTCCAACTACTGCGCGTACCCCTTGTAATACAAACCAATAATAGCGATTTGAAACTATGATCGTTTGTAAAACAACTTTTACCCTAAGTTGAATAAAATTCTTAGATTTAAAAGTTCAATTGGCAAGGTAAAATCATGAGGATTCGCAATCTTAATTTCACTTTATGTGATTTACTTTTTTGTTTAAAGTGAAATTCATCGGTACATTTTCTCTGCCAACAGACTATAGAAACCGTACAAGAATCTCATGTCATTATAACGCGATTCTCGTGTTTATACGCTGATGACCCCGAAGCCAATCAAATCAGATTACTTGATAATCGACGAGCACGACATCGTCATCTGCCAACACCTGATTCCTGGTTTATTTATCGACTAGTACGGGTGTGCCAGCAGACTCATCACGTTATTCATATTTATTTATCGACTCGTACACAAGATGTCGTCACGGTGCACGACACTGTAAGGAGAAACATACAAGTTCTGAACTGTAAATTATTAAACTTGAACACGTACACAACGCTCGTATTCGACAAATACAAACAGCATGAACACACATACGAAGACAACATCTCCATCCAAGACTAGGTTCAACACCCCTCTTAAGTGGTCTGAAGAAATATATTGTCATGTGTTCTCTATCTTCCTTCAACTAAGTGGAAACACAGCTGGCAATATATTTTGAGAGTGATGCATTTTCGATTCATCCCACGTGGTCCACATCTGAATAAGATTTCTGACAGACTGGTTTACGAACACCGTCCCAAGAGTAACGCATGCGCAGATGACACCTGCTGTGTTAAATTATACGACACATGCGCATCAACGGAATAAAAACGTTTATTTCCTGTTTGAATATAACACAGATACTTTGACGTCTAGTATATAGTGAGTATTGTGATGTACAGAAAGCGATCACTTTCAAACAAGATGCTGATGCAGTGAAACCTGGTTAATCCGAACTCAACCTCTCTATTGCAACTGCAAGGATAACTGATATCCGGGATAATGAATCACCCATACGTAGCATACGTCTTCACGATTATATAGTCGTGGCTAGTAGAGGTGGTGTAGAAGGTGGAATACAGGTTTAACAGAGTTCGGACTAACAAGGTTTCAATGTATTACTAACAAATATGGCGTGTGTTGAATACTCGCAATTCATTGTGATATTTCACTTACAGAATTCTTCAGATAAACTATATATCATGATGGCAGGGTCAGAATACTTAGGACGCGATTAAACGAGCAATGTCTTTTCATACCCATCTATACTTGAAGTCAAATCTCAAACACATCCTCTGAATTCAGGGTGTTATTTAAGTCCATGTTGTGATTGGTTCACCTTGGGATTAATACGCCACTGGTCACCAGACTGGTCTCGTCGATGAAAGCGGTGCGGTCTTGCCAATGAGGTACGGTACATAGCTCCTCAACCCATTCGTGAGATTCGCTACCATGGCACGAACCATGATCCCAGTTTGTCTCAGCGAATCAGAATCAGACTGTTTCACTACGTCCCCCAGGTTCTGCTTTTTGAAGCGCGTAATTCAGATCGATGTCGAGTGGTCCTCAAGGTACTTATCAGATCGTGGCGTTAAAAATCCCCGGACAACCGACGATGTTTCCAACATAAAATCCATAGAATCGACATATCACGTCTCTATGTGGTCGCTGTTACCCATTAAACACAAAACGTGGATTCTTCTAACAGGTCATATCAACCAGGCGTCTGCTCGACGTGGTTTCCGCAAATGTAGGAATCCATGTGATACAAATAATACAAACGGAACGAGCTGTATCAACGCAACGTAGACATAGCACTAACACTTAATGACAAATATACATCCACCTGTATGCCCTGTTCGATATGTCCAGAAGCTACAACTACACATCTAGGATTTCCACTTATAATGTCCAAATGTCTTTTCGAATCGAAGTTTTCCGTTTCTGTATCGCCTCTTCTTCCGAATAGATTTATTGTTTCGCCTTCGTTCCCTCCTCTTATTCCTCCTCTTTGCTTTACCACCTTTAGATTTTTTATTCTTTTTATTCTTCCTTTTAGCCTTTCTTCGCTTCTTCTTCTTCTCCACCGTCTCTGCCGCGTCACGTTGGACGTCACATGGCCCCTTGTGCTCGACCTTGATCCGCTTCCCAATGTTGCAAGCGGCAATGCGTAAGTGACACCGTGAGGTGTACGTGATATTGTCGGTGCCACACACCTCGCGTTGTCGTCTGCTGCGGCAGATGTAGTCACTGGGGCAGGTGCACAGAGGCAGCCCCTGCATGTTCTCTACACATACTTTGAACTTGGGGCACTTCACTTGCTCACAGGCGCCATCTGAAATCAGAAGAAAGTCACCAATGTAAAAGCAGAATATTGAGACACTGAATGAGTGAGTGAGTTTAGTTTTACGCCGCACTCAGCAATATTCCAGCTATATGGCGGCGGTCTGTAAGTAATCGAGTCTGGACCAGACAATCCAGTGATCAACAGCATGAGCATCGATCTGCGCAATTGGGAACCGATGACATGTGTCAACCAAGTCAGCGAGCCTGACCACCCGATCCCGTTAGTCGCCTCTTACGACTAGCATGGGTAACTTAGGGCCAATATTCTAACCCGCACCTTCATGGGTTTGAGACACTGAGATACACAGATATAATAATAATATTGTCAGCTTGCATTGCGCTTAAACTCCATGCATTCCATGCTCAAAGCGCTAACAGGTATGAAGGAAAAGGTGGGTTTTGAGTTTGCGTTTGAGTGAGTGAGTTTAGTTTTACGCCGCTTTTAGCAATATTCCAGCAATATCACGGCGGGGGACACCAGAAATGGGCTTCACACATTGTACCCATGTGGGGAATCGAACCCGGGTCTTCGGCGTGACGAGCGAACGATTTTCACCACTGGGCTACCCCCACCGCCCCGTTTGCGTTTGAAATGTTCACGTGAAGAAATAGTTCTGAGTTCTGTTGGGAGAGAGATCCAAAGATGTGCTGCTGCAAAGTGAAATGATCTGTAGCCAAAAAGTTTCAGTTTATATGAGGGCACTTGAAGTTTAAGCTGCATGGGTGCTGGAACGCAACGTCCTGCGGGGGTATACACAGACAAGGTCTTGCAGGTACTGCGGAGCTTTGCCGCACACACACTGTATAGGGGTTTTAATACCTGATGGATCAGTAATTCAGTATTTATAAGAGCTTGTAAGTTTACTATCGATTTCCCATGAGGATCCGGGTTAGAATGGGTCTTCAGCAACCCATACTTGTCGTAAGAGGCGACTAACGGGATCGGATGGTCAGGCTCGCTGACTTGGTTCACATGTGATCATATCCTATTTGCAAAGATCGATGCTGATAATGCTGATCATTGGATTTACAGACTCGATTATGTACAACCCACCGCCATATTGTTGGAATATTGCTGAGTTCGGCGTTGAATAACAAACAAATAAACAGTTTAATATGAGAATAAAGTCGTCATTTTGTGACACAAAGAAAGATGGGTAAGGTGCTGGCAAAACTGAAAAGATATCGAAGCAAACGATCATTGGTTTGCGAACGAAAGGCATGGTAAATTCTACATCTTACGACTGGTCCACCCGTCGGGGAGATGAAGAAGGGCCTAAACACACAACTGTGATACCCGCACCAAATACAGTGCCGGACAAAAACAGTAAACACCCACGTTTGATGGTGGATAAAAGAGAATATTCATCAGAAGGGGATGTATTTGATAAGGGTAAAACTGTTTTGTTATGGGCCATCCGTTTGCAGTTATCAACCTTGTACAGTACTCCCATCCCCAAATCCATTTAATCCATACTCAAAACCGTAGGTCTGAGCGTTAACAGTAGTTCAGTCTCATCACTGGGTCAGTTCAATGTTCAACGTTTTCGGTGTTTCATTTGATGTGCATACCCCCTTGTAATACAACCAATAATAGCCATGTGAAACTATGATCGGTTGTTAAACAACGTTTATCCTAAGTCGAATAATATTCTGAGATTTACATGTTCAGTTGCTAAGGTAAAATCATGAGGATTCGCAGTCTTAATTTCACTTTATTTGTTTTACTTTTTGGTTTAAAGTAAAATTCATCGGTAATTTTCACTGCAAACAGACTATAATGCAGGTTTAGTAGTGAGCTGCTCTGGTAGCTCAATGGGATCTGAACCCACGGTCGTCGAATCCTGGCTCAACTAAGGGACGCAACTGTGGACATTATGAAAACAAGAACGAAGTAATGCCATGTACCTGCTGTAAGCTACAACACAGTGCTGCAGATAGAGCTTAGATCACCTTATATTCGACGTTGACGGTTAAAGGAATAGCCTGTTCTTGTGACAGAAAGAGGCTCTGGTGCTAGTTCCAGCGTGGTCTAGGGGGGTAAATATTGAGATGAATTAAACATGTCTGAATATAGTTTGGGTACTCAGTCGCGTCTTGAGTGAAAAATAACAAACTTTCAGGTTCAGCCAGACACTTATACAGGGTAAATTACATGGACAAAACCCTGTCCATGTTCTTAAAAACACTTTGAGTCCATTGTACGACTATATCACGAGGTATTCGCCACAAGATTAGCATCTTATGCCCCACCAGTAGTACTCGTCACAAACAGATCACTTATATTTATGGGATTATTTCAAAACACGGGAACAAATGGTTCGGGTGAAATAGGTAAGTGCTTTGAAATCATGTTTATAAGAAAAAGGTGTCTGCAGACTTTATGTCTGTGAATCTGGAGTGGAACATCTCAGCTTAAAGGTACCGTTCTGCCTGTGTGAGCAATGTTGACATCAATCATATGTTTCATTAGACTAAACCCCTTCTGTTTAAGTAACCTTTCCACCAGATTGATCAATGTTCATGGTCTTCCCCTCGTACACTACCTGAATCTTGTTTATTTTCAGATAAATTATATCTAAGAATGACACAATACTCTTGAAGTGGTTGTCTAGCTGTTCCAGTGTGGGTCGTTTTACACTAATGCTTGATGATCAAGGCTATTGAATGCCCACCCTTGCTGTCGAGCTGACATTTCTCTCTTTCGTTACCGTTAAGAACATACAGTAATGTTTTGACAATATATCCACCATTTAAACAGAGGTTAATTCCAGGAGACTGCTTATGGTCTACGCAAAGTCTCTCAATCTGGAAATAGATTTTCGAACATCTGGACAGATAGCACGTTGATATTATAAAACGGCCAACACACGGTCCTTGTCCAATCCCTTGCGCACACTGTCAGGAAGTACAGATGTTAATCATATGGCAATTTAATTAAGAAATAAACCAAATGATGATTATTTCGCAAAAACAAACCCCAACATTACAGGCACAATGTGTTAAGTATTCTTAGTAATAAAAACCTTCCATAGTAGGTCTATATAAATGGCGATTTGATTTGATTTAAATTTTTCAAAATATATTTCAAAATATTATTTTACTTGTTGTTTTACCATATCGACATTATTTTCCAAAATTAACTTTCAAAAAGGAGATATATTTAGTTCGACCACCGTTGTTGGAGGAAAATAATTTAAGTAAACCAAGGCGTTCTTTGAACCTACAATAGCCCTCCCTCTCCAGTGTTCCGATCTGACAACCACACACACTGTATACAACATCCCTGAACAGGTGCTTGACTCAATATATAGATCTACATATACCAGGAGACAGAAGAACTACTACATACAGGACCTCGTCAAACAGAACCATGTACTGATCGACATTTCTGGTATCGACTGCTCTTAGTCCCAGCGCCAATCTTTGCCCACCGTGGCAGGATTGTATACAATCGGTAACCATCATGTGATGAATGTAATCAGGAGGTTCATAACGTGTATATGTTGTGTAAATACGGGCTTAATCAGTGACATCAAATGTATTTTATCTTCCAGCCCCCGACTACTAAAGCGGGGCTTTAAAGAAGGGTAAGCACTGGGTGCAGTAATCATTACAACCGGTGCAAATACGACTGGAATAGACGGAAGATAATTTGTTAAAGATTTGTTATTATTAGGCATAAATACCTCTCCTTGGACGGCTCACTGGTGAAATGTTATAACAATACTCGTCATTACAACGGCATGTTGGGTGTACGTTGTAGAGCCTCTGACGGAAAGCCAGTCTGACATGTCCTTAAAAGTCACATCAACAGAACCATGACATACTGAGACCCTACCGAGTGGTTGAACGCCACGTTTGGGCCATGTGTTGCTATGGTAATGAAACGCTGGTTTTTCAATGACAAGAATGTAGCATGGGAATTTTAGGGTTCGGCGGTACATTCATGATTTCTTTAAAACAATTCTTCTGAAAATGATGCCGAAAACGTTTCGATGGACATGTGTTTGGCTTCATCACCATGGTATCGGTGAATGGTATACTCCCACGTCTTGTGAATGGGAATTCCTGTAGTCAGTCGTCATGAATACAACAACTGCAAACATGGTAGAATCTTTGCACGCACAGCTGCGTTGTGGGGATGGTGTGGGGTGCGTTTAGGTCGTCCATGCGATTTTATGAAATAGCGATTATAACCCGTTACACCGGAGTGAATGAACACTCAGTCCCATTTAAAGTTAACTTATCTTAAGACACACACACACACACACACACTTGCACGCACGCACGCACGCACGCACACACACAGAGGAACTAATAACATCCCAAAGGGACCCAGAACAAGTCCAAGCTAGACCTGCCCAATCATTCTAGACTTGAGTTGGACACCTTTTCTGACTTTTTCCTTAGGGCCCCGGCCAGACTGACATTTAACCCCATATTAAACAAATCTCAATGAAGCCCAGAACAACCCCTTAAACTCTAGAGCTGAAGTAATCGGGATTTGCCAAAAATATTTGGGCTTGAGTAGGACTCCTGTTAAATATATTCTCAAGGTCTTAGATGGAACCTGGTGTGAACTGTCGGTGAATGGCGTGACCTTTTATCCAGCGTACAAGAAGTAGGTGATACACGTCGATCTGTCCATAACCAGCTGCCATTGTGACCACCTAATCCCCATGTCAGTCGCCGCGTACATGTTCTGATCATTGGGCATAGGTATAGCGTGACCACGCTTACCTATAAAATCCCGACCCCGGTGAAGATTGGATTAGAACTGGTCTTCAGAAACTCATGCTTATCGTAAGAGGCGACTAAGGGAATCGGGTGGTCAGGCTCAGTGACTTGGCTGATGCATGTCATCGTATCCTAGTTGCGTAGATCGATGCCAGTGATGGCAAACACTGAATTTGTTGGTCTAGTTGCAGACACCCATCAGAAAGCTGATGGGGCGGTGGGATAGACAAGTGGTTAAAACGTTCGCCC